TGACACCCCTGCTCTATTGAGATGTGAAAATAAGTTTACAGAATGCAGGGAAAGTTTATTAAATGTTTAAACAGTTTGTCTGAGACCTGGAATACAACTGTCATTTTCAATATGAACTGCATTGATTGCCAATTTGTTCCCTGATCCAATTCAAGGTACTGGTTTTAACCTATAAAGCCCTTCCTGGCATAGGGCTAGGGAGAGGGAGTGCCTCTCCCAGATTATATCAGCCTGCCCAGTAAGATCTGGGAGAGATGGCATTGGCTAGGGATCTTCACTTGGTGAGTCCCAAGAGACTTGCCTTCTCTGTCATGGCATCCATCTTTTGAAGCATTTCCCTCCCCCCTGAAATTAGATTAGCTTCATCCTTTTTGATATTCCAGAAAGCCCTCAAGATTTGGCTATTTTGTCAGGCCTGGATCTCCCAGGCAACCAGAGACTTGCTTAGATGATTCCATTGTTGAGAGGGCTATTTTCCTCTTGTATTTGTTCTCACTTTTATGATGTTAATATGGATTTTATATTTTTTGTTTTTGTTTGTTTTTATCTGATTGTTGAGTGCTGCCCAGGGTTGCTTTTGGTGAGATGGGTGATTATATAATTTTGATTGATAATCAAAAGATTATTTCTTTCAGGGAGATTTTGAGCACTGTAGGGAAAAATTGTCATGGGACAAAGCAGAGCATGGGCTAGAATGGGTAGGCAACCTTGGCTCTTTTATGACTCATGGACTTCAACTCCCAGAATTCCTGAGTCATGCTGACTCAGGAATTCTGGGAGTTGAAGTCCATGAGTCATAAAAGAGCCGAGGTTGCCTACCCCTGGGCTAGAAGTAGCAATAAATTTTACTCTCTCTTCAAAATTATTCCAAGAAGAATAAGAAATTGTTGCAAATTATACAGTGCTTCATGGAATCAATTGCCTAGGCATAATTGACACATCATTTTTAAAGATGTGTATGTGAATAAGTAGCAGAGTCTTCAGTGATCCCACAAAGTCTTAGTAGGATCAGATTTGGTTAGTACTTAAAAGGGTAGATTACCAAGTGATCCAAAGGCTATAGGTTTAAAACAATTCCCAGGAGTCAGAATTCCTGCATTGTGGCTAATGCATAGATACATAGTCATTAAGAACTAAATCTGACTTATCAGATATAAGGAAATGGTATTTATTTCTATGCATTCTACTGTGAAGGAACCCCATCTGAAATGTCATATGTCAGCATTTAAAATGATCTGATGGATTTAAATTTAATTTAGTAGCATTAATCTTCTCTCAGATTCCTACTTCCATGGTCACTGACAATGAAAAAAAAATTCAGTATAGGATACAGTAAAGTGGGGGGGGGGGTGTAGTCAAATGAACATTCTGCCTTGAGGTCTTCAAAATGCCATTAAATGTTCATTTAGTCACAGAATCTGCAGTCTGAAGGATTAATTTAAATTATTCCACTGACTGGGCCAATTCAATGGCTATAAAGTCATGATCTCCATGGGAACCTTTCACAGTTTCACTAATTGCACATTTCGGATGCTGCAGTTAAAATCTCAGAACAAAAGCATCCCTTCTGCTTCATTGGCTTTTTTGAGAAAAATTCTTTTCCAGCAGAGAGAATTTTGAAAAATATGAGTTTCTTTGCACTAAACTTCCAGTGTTCAAATTTAGAAAGAAACCTTGTTTCAAGTAGCAAACCAGTAAACACAATTGAACATAATGGGAGTTGTGGTATGTGGAACTCCTAAAGATGACAAACAAAATTCTGGGATGCATCACTAGAGGGATCACCAACAGGGAAAAGGAGGTCCAAGTTCTGCTTATATAGGGTTTAGTCAGAACCCATTTGGAATACTGTGTCCAATTCTGGAGACCCTACTTCAGTGGTGGCGAACCTATGGCACGCGTGCCAAAGGTGGCACGCAGAGCCCTCTCTGTGGGCACCCACACACGCCGTCACCCCAGCCCCACCTCCCCCCGTGGCCCCATCCTCACCAGCAACCCTCCTGGAGGAGAGTCGCCCCGGGAGCTGCCCACGTGGAGCAGCGCAGACAAGGACATGGCAGCTGGGCAGCAGGGACAAGACTCCGCCCTCGTGCCCATTGCATGCAGATGATGCTGTGGGGCGCAGTCGGAGGCCGTGGCCACCATGGTACTGCAGGGCCGCCTGGGCAATCTGCTGCAGTGGGCTGTGGAGGCGGTAGGTGACCCTGTGGGCGGGAGGGGGGGTGGCCAGGGTGCGGAGAGGAGCAGGGGGGCGAGGCAGTTTTTGGGCACTCGGTGTCTAAAAGGTTCGCCATCACTGCCCTACTTTTTAAAAAAGATATTGATAAGTTTGAGCAAGTCCAGAGATGGGCAACAAAAATGGTGCAAGGTCTGAGGGACAGAATGTATCAGGAGACATTGGAGGAACTGAATATGTATAGCCCGCAGAACACAAGGGAAAGGAGTGACATGATTGAATCCTTTAAATATATTAAGGGTGTAAATAAGGTTCTAGAAGATAGTATTTACAATAGTAAGCAAAAATCAAGAACATGGAGACATAATGTCAAACTCACAGGAGGGAAGTTCAAAAGTAATATTAGAAAGTATTACTTCACAGAAAAAATAATGGAAGCTTGGAACCAACTTCTAGTTTAAACATGCTTGGGATAAACACATGTCCATCATCCATAAAAAATCAAAAGATAAAATAAAAAAATTAAAATTAAAAATATATAAATTTTAAAAAACAAAAAATCTCAAAGTGCAGATTCAAGGACCACTAGTCTTTTTCTGCCATCAGTTTTCTATGTTTCTATGGCACTTTTGAACAGGAATTCCCCAACAAAATTGCCTGTACCTTGTGTCCCCAAGGAGATACCATAATCATATCCACAAAATAAATATGTGCTTATTTATATAATATTTTTATAATACTTAGGAGAGTCAGTGTGGCCTAGTGGTTAAGGAGCTGAACTAGGAGTAGTAAAACCTGAATTCTACTCTTACCTTAACCAGAAAAGACAGCTGGCTAATTTTAGTCAAGTCACTCTGTAAGTGGTTGGCCCAAAAAGGATGTAAGTCCAGCCTGAAGGAATATAACATTTCTACTATTTATTCTAAAAAAAGAACCCCTAATAGGTTTCAGAACTTCAGCATAGAATATGGGAAGCAAATGCAGACAAATACACCAATATTGCAAATAAATTTGCAACTGATTGTTTCGTCATCTCAAACTCGGCAAAGCCAACCCCAGAATGCATGCTTTCAACTTGCTACAAGCACCATACTATAACGAGCTATCTGACCAATTAAGACAACCTTTAATTTTTTTAGAAATGAAACAACCCTACCAAAAAGTATCAACCAATTCATTAGCATAAAATACTTAGGAATCCCAGTAATCTCTTTGCTGGTTTACTTATTCATGACATCCTTGATTAACATTTTTAAAAAAAGTACTTGAAAGCTTCAATATTGTCTCATTCATTGCCAAGCAAAGAATAAACACTTGTTACTCTGAAATTAATATTTCATTATTTGAAAAAGCCCATATTCACTTGTATTCACCTTGAAAAATAATTGGAGGTGGGAAGTGACAAAAGCAGTGTGGTGCACATACAAAAGGTGCCATGAAGGCAGAACCCTGCTGTTGCCATTTTGATTAGTCTGATCATGCCAATGCCTCTGCACCTTTCACAGCTGGCATATTCATGCACAAGACTGAATTCACAATTATTCCTACACAGAATGTATGTCTTGTCTTGCATACAGTTTTCAGTTCATAAAATGTTTTAAGATCTCCCCATTCATGCTGAAATTCTTTCAAGGTCACTGCATACAAGGAACCAAGGCAAAACTTTTTGTTTCCTCAAACTTTCAGTGCTAGGTTTAGGTTTATGCATTGTTATATAAGTTGGTATAGATTGAAGGTTATACTTTTGAATTTTGGAATTCCAGAGAACCAGGATTCTCTTTCTTGGTGCAAAAGTCCAGTACAAACAAGAAGGACAAGCTGAAAAATCTGTTGATCTTGCTATAGATGAAAAAAACTGTTAATTGTACTTTCCAACTAGGTATGGTATACCAGCTGAATATTCTCTAAGGTAACAGTCTTTCATCCCTTACTCCTGTCAAGAACCATAAAGTTGCTTTTGAAGATTATTTAGAAATCATTGCCAGTCTAGTTAATCTCACCAATACTGGCCAAAAAGCAATTTCATACTTGTTTTTATGAAGCAAACCTGGCTTTCATACTTAAAGATATTTGGAAAAGCACCAAATATTAATCACCTTAAGAAAAATCTATTTTATATCATGATTTTCCTGCCATTGTAGAGGGGAACCATTGTTCTACAAACCTAAAATAGGTTTAGTGTAACCTCAAGTCTCAAAGAAAACCAAACCAAATTTCCTCCCCAAGAAACTCAGGAGAACACAAAGCATTCCTGACCTTTTCATATAAGGACATGGCCACTTTCTTCATCTTTAAAGTTCTAAACAAGATTTTACTTCTGGATCTCATTCATTCACCATGTTGATGCCTTCTTCTGCAAAGTCATCTCCAATTCTTCTCTTACTCCTTTGGAGTGTTGTATGCAAATAATCTCTATCTACCGTCATACTACCTTCAACAATTTAAAATTCATACAAACATACCCTTTTGTTTATAATTACATTTACACCTTCGTCTCCTTCTCTCTCTCTCCCGAGGGAGAGAGAGAGCTCCAGTATAATAAATGCACATGTTAAAATAAACATACCCATATAATAAATGCAAAATGCTTCACACATAATGAAAACCAAGTGAGAGCTCCACTCTTTTTCTTCATCTTCACCGACAGATTTCTTTCCTAACTTCTCTGAGCAGCGCTCGCTTCTTCAAAGGAACAGGTAACTGAAACTCGGAAGTCCCACGTACAAGCCTCCGGTGGCCCCCTCTTCTTTTCTTGTCTCTGCGTTTCCAACATAGTGCTTCTGAAAGTACTTCCGGTTCGTGAGGGCCCGGGCTGCCGGGGTCTAGTCGGGGCGGTCGCTTGGAAGTGAGGTAGGGTGGCTGCCGGTTCTGGTCCTTTCTTTGGTTGCGCGGGTGGCCGATGGAGCTGCCTCCGCTAATCAGCGATTACTGAAGAGCAGGGACCCTCCCACCCCCCGCATTCAGCAAAGGGCAGGAAGAGTAACCTTTGTGGGCAGGGAGCGCTCTCCACCCTACATGCTCGCGATCTGCAGGTGGATTTGCTCCCTCCGCGCAGATCCCGAGGGGCGTCTGAAGCTGCCAGGTAGTCTTCGGGAGATACGCTCGCTGCGTATCTGGTGCCTGGCTGAGTTAACGTGCCCTGGCTCGGCTGATGGGATCTGTCTTGTAAACTTCTACGCCGCGGGGTGCGCTTTCCGCTTGCAGAGAAAAGGGACAAATCTAGCGCGGGTTAGGCTTAAAGACTACCCACTCTTAACGCTGTTATTCCGTGCATAAGCAGACTGATACGAGAAGCATCTTTCAATAAAATCACGTTGTAAAAAAAAAAAAGCAACAGCTCAACAGTGATAATTTGTTGAAGTTGACAGTAGGATTAAACAGAGAGAAGTATGAAATAGATAAAAGTAGATGCTTTGCTTCGGGTAGGGCTCCCTCTTGTAAATTGTTGAGCCTTCGTTTGCTTGAATCAGATTCCAGTAGTTATTTAGGCAAGGGCTGGGCTGGTCTGTCTGTGAAATATATTATTCTTTGTTAAATAATTGTTAAGCTGAGAGTAAATTTTCCGTATAGTGCTGATTTTATAGGTATATATAAAGCTCTCTTCTAGAGATTTGAATGCATTGCATGTTTTGCTGATCTGTTGATCCGTATACAAGCAGTGTGGTTATGCTGTTTTCGCTGACACTTTTTTCCCTCCAATTTCTAAATACCACTCTATTATGCATACTTTCTTCCTAGGAGTCTATTTTATTAAAGTTATTAGAAAAGTATTGTCTATTTTATTAAAGTTATTAGAACAGTATTGTGTAAAAGAGAATATAGAAGTTTCTAAGATATTGCAAAAATAATGTCCTGGATTTGTTACCGTGCCATCAGATACATACGGCATGTATTGAGAAGCGAGTCCTATTAAGTGTATTGAGGATGACACTCAAGTTTAAATATTTAGGTTGTTTTTCCTATTATATCTAAAAAAGGTGAGAAATCTGGAATTGTCTGATCTTTTTTTTTCTTTATTTCTTTTGCTTTTTCACAGGATTGTTTTAAACGTATGTTAGAAATATGGCTGTGTCTCTCATTATAAAATGGGGTGGGCAAGAATTTTTAATAACCACCTTGTCAGAAGAGGACACAGTGTTGGATCTCAAGCAATCACTCAAAGGACTTACAGGAGTGCTACCAGAACGCCAAAAACTTCTGGGACTTAAAGTAAAAGGTAATCTTCTCTTTGTCTTTCTTTGTTAAGTGAGGTAGTTGTGATAGTGCTGGTTGTTTAAATGACTAAATGTGAAAGCACTTCTTAAAAAATACAACATAAACCCTAGTCTAAGGTTTATCCCTCGCACCCTGTACAAGAAGCAGACTGATATCAAGCTTGTGCAGTCAACAATAGTCCATCCTCTTTAACAGAACATTCTAGTGATGTATTAATGCATA